TTTTTAATTTTATATTTTTAAAAGATATTAACAATCGATAATATGGTTATTTTTGGTATATACCATACAAACCGAATGGATGTGATTTTATAAAAATCATAGGATTTGGATATGGTTTGATTTATAATCGATTAAACTGAAACATGTAAATATGTATATATTTATAACGACGCATGAATATCTATTTTTTACATGAGTTGAACTATAATTATAATTTGTAAATAGCTAACAATTTATACAACTAAGACTTCTTATTTTGATCTTTTGTTTTTTTAATAGTAACTAAATTGAAATAAAGATTATAAATTTGATGGACAACAATTAGTTGAAATTCTTGACAACTTTTTTTTATCTTTAAACAAATAGAGTTGTGTTCAATCGAAGACATATTGGTTTGATGAACACTAAATATAGAAGAATATAAAAACTTTTCTTTCATGCTTTTGTTTTATTTTTTTAATTTTTATTTTCAAAATTTAGTGTTTTGATATTAATTCTAGATTTGATCATTTTATTAGATATGATAGAAGCCTTTTTTGTTTTTTATTCTTTTATTTAAATATATAATATTTTTTTAATAAATGACTCTGTGACAATATGACTCTAAATATGATCATATTATATATTTGTATAATATATAATATGATCTCAAACTAAATAATTGTGTTTTTTTGGTATAAAATTGAATAAACTGAAAACCGATGGTATATAAACCAAATCAAACTGAAGTACATATAGATTTAGAAAAGTAGTTATATTTTAATGATCGAAATACCAAAAAATCGAGCCGAACCGAAACCCGATATCCGGATTGAACACCTCTAATCCGAATAAAACCGAACTATTGTTTCATTTTTAAAAACATAATAAAAATAATAGCTTCATCCCGCGCAAGGCGCGGGTCTTATCCTAGTTTGTAGCTATAGTCTGAAAGTGTAGTTAGTTGATCACCAAATAACATAGCGTGACAGGTTGACAAAGAGTTTCCAGAAAAAACATAATCTAGAACAATCATTTGCTCCATAACCACTGAAACAAGAGGATATATGGTATATAACAGAGAATATTCATTCTGACAACCGAAAAGTTATAACAACACACACATAAGCACTGTAAAAGAAAAGGGGCGCCCATTAATATTGCCTGAGGCGGTGCAATACATTCAGTTTCTTCAAGAACAAGTGAAGGTCTGATCTGTTTCCTTCATTGTTTTGGATCCAAACATGCTTCATTTGGTCATTTGTTCCTCTTCCAATCCAACAATGACTTTTATTCTCAATTGTCTGTACAGGTTCTAAGCGCTCCATATCTTCAAACAACCTATTGCTACGTTATATCAATACCGTTTACATGCTACTGAAGAAAAGTTTGCTATATTTCGCCAATGGTTTTGTTTCTCTTCTTATTCTATGACTAAGGAACTTAAAGTTCAGATGACGCAAGTATAAATAAAACTCAATGACAACATATGTTCCAAACCCTTTGATTGATCCAAAACACAGACATTTTTCTTCATATATCAATGTTACATGTATTTACTATCCAACTGATACACAATCAAGGAACAAAGTTATCCCCAATGCAGATGTTTGTTTGGAAAGTATAAGCATTATGTATAACCTTATGATGTTTTTATCGTTTCAAGTTGTTGAACCTGTAAAGACTTTTGCTTTTCAAAGAGAATAATCTTCAAACAAGAAACCATCAGTGTTGAACTCTGAATCAATACCTTCTCTTCCCCTGAACTCACAAAGTCCCACCGCATTTTCTATAGAGAAATCATTCATCAAACCAAAGTCATCTTCTAATAAAGTCCTGGACCTTCGTGTCATGATAATCTTCTTAGGTGTTTTGCCCTCTCTGCTTATCTCTACACTCTCTTCTGTAGCTTCAATAGGTACCACTTTTGAAGATATTTCGCTCGAGTTTCTCAACCTTGATGGAAAACTTTTGTTCCTCTTCAAAATGGGTTTTCGGTTCCTGCTGATCTCGGTTTGTTCCATCTCTGGAATCTGTGTTAGTTTTGAGTTTAATCCAGAGCCATTGAACATGAGTTTTCTCTTACACCCTTCTTTGAGATCTATCTTTCTTGTATGAAGCTGTGCCCTCATTGATCTTGGAGAGGTACTAGCACTTTTTGATCCTATATATTTTTTCCTCTGAGGAGACATTGAGAAATGCTTCATTATATCATCTGTTGTCCAATCAAACTTCTGCTCAAATGGCCAGAAAAGTGGTTCCACAACTGTCTTTCTCTTTGAACCTCCAATCTCTGTAACTCTCTCCAAAGCTGATGCCGGTATGGTTATAGCAGCTGAGCTAACCGGTGAAGGAGTCACTTCTGGTGATTTTAAAGAGAAGCTAACAGATTTTCCATCTTTTTGTGTGTTATCTGAAGAGCATGTTGCATCATCCTTTGTTGAACTTTTCTGGTGATGATTCCTTTTGGTGGAGATGGTGTTCTCTTGCTTCTTAGCAGCATTTGATAACCAAGAGACGATGCTTTCGTCGAGTGAGAAATGAAACGAGACAGAGACTTTACGTTCCCCTAGAAGAGAGCTAGAGGAATCAGAAGTCAACCAAATGGAATCGATGTCTTCTATCTGCTTCCTGGATTCATCTAGCTTTTCACGTCTTCTCTGAGGAGAGACACATGCAGATTTGGTCCTCTTTGTCTTTGCTGTGACATCAGGAAGAGCTTTTTTACCCTGACGTAGCCTCATGGAGTCATAGCTAGCACCTGTTGATCTAGACCGTGGAAAAACTGGTTTTGGATCATTTGTTGTTGTTGTGTTGTTGTTTTTCTTGAGGGAGAAAGTTGATGTAATCCTCTTCATTAGACCTTTAGATCCATCTCTCCCACCTGAAAAACTCATATTGCAGGTTTCAGATTTTACTCAATTCAGTCTTCAGAACCAAATACAGAGCATTTTTTTGTGTTTATTGTTTTGAAGTAATGAAAGTCTTAATGTGTTTATGTTCTGTTTTTTTTTTTTTTGTCTAATAATCATAACATAAACATATTAAGCGTGTGATTAGAGGAGCAAGAAACGGTAAATGCAGGAAAGATTCATGCCGTTCTCTGAATTTTTTTTTAAAAAATGTCAACTGCTTGCAAGATGCAATATGATATATGATTTTTTTAAAGAAACCTGGATATTCTTTTAACATTCTTGATATACGTTGATGTAATAGGAGTGATGTTGACATTACAAATCAGTAATGTTTAAGGGATTATATTAGATTCTACCATTTTATCAAACGCTTTGCTCTTTTCATTACAATTAATTAAAGTGACGACATTATTAGACATTGTGGTATCATGTAGCTTCTTAGGGAGGAGACCTGGTTAATGTGTGTTTATATGCATAATGCAACATATGAGAAGCAAACAAAACAAATAACTTGAAGGTTTTATCAGTTAAACCTGGAACATTTCTCTACCTATCACTAGGTATTTCGGTGATCCTCTAAGCTCACTTCGGACTAAACTAAATGTTTTTTGGTAATCAATAATGTATAATTTTTGTACACAAACACTTGTAAAAGCCAGCCTGTTACTTGATCTATAAGATATTTGCAAGAGATCAACGCATCGTATATTTTGGCAAATAACAAGATATCAATAACAATAGTCTCTGCTTAAAGTGGTCAGAAACATACACATTATATATCTCTCTGACTCACTTGAAAACAGGAAAAGGGAAACAGCAAGATGTAGCAAGTGTTTAATATATAAAGGAAACGATTATTCAGCTAAAACATTCCAAGAAGAAGGGAAACCATCTCCCTGCAAACCATTTCAGAGATCCCCAAACTTTTACCAACAGATACACAATCATTGAAACAAAACTGTCTCCAATGCAAATGTTTTTTTTTTAATTACCAGGAGGTTACCGTAATCTCCAATGCAAATGTTTATTTTCCAAGTATACGTATGAAGTTGTATAGTCTCAGGTTGTTGAACCTGTTTTTAATCTTCAAACATGAAACCATCAGTGTTGAAGTCTGAATCAATGCCTTCTCTTCCCCTGAACTCACAAAGCCCCACTGCATTTTCAATAGAGAAATCATTCATCAAAGCAAAGTCATCTTCTACGAAAGTCCTGGACCTTCGGGTCATGATAAGCTTCTTAGGTGTTTTCTTGCATATCTCCACACTCTCCTCTGCAGCTTGAACAGGTACCTCCTCTCTCGAGGTTTTCAAACTCGCTGGCAAACTTTTGTTCCTCTTCAAACTCTTCATGATGGGTTGTTGTTGTTGTTGTTGGTTCTTGCTGCTGATCTTGGTTTTCTTATTACCGATGGTTCGTGCTTGTTTTGGACTTGTTCCAGGACCATTGAACATGAGCTTTCTCTTACACCCTTCTTTGAGAACCAGCTTTCTTGTCTGAAGCTGTGCCCTCATTGATCTCGGAGAGGTACCAGAAGTTTTACTTCCTATTGACTTTTTCCTCCGAGGAGATATGGAGAAATGCTTCAATATATCATCTGGTGTCCAATCAAACTTCTGCTCAAACGGCCAGAAAAGTGGCTCCGTAACAGTCTTGCTCTTGGAATCCACAATCTCTGCAACTTCTTCCTCCATAGACATCTCTGATTCTAAAGAGAAGCTAACTTTCTTTTCGTCATGACTCTGTAAAGTCAACTCAGGACTCTCATATGACTCTTCACAAGTCTTGTTGTTCTTCTCTGAAGAACATTTTGCCTTCTTTGAACTTCTCTGATGATCATATTTGGTGTCTTCTTGATTCTTGGCGACATTTGCTAACCAAGAAACAATCTTATCATCGAGTGAGAAGTGAAAGGAGACAGAGACTCTGTGTTTCCCTGGAAGAGAGCTAGAAGAAGCGCAATCCGAAGACAAGTAAACGGAATCGATGTCATCAAAACATCTTCGCTTGGTGAACTGTTTCCTGGATTCATCTATCTTTTGACGCCTTGGTTGAGGAGAGACACCAGCAGATTTGGTTCTCTTCGTGTTTGTTATAATATCTGGAAGATCCCTTTTCCCTTGATGCAGCTTCTTGGATTCATAGCTGGCACCAGTTGATCTGGACCGAGGAAGAAGTGGTTTGGGATCATTGGTTGTGTTCTTGTTGTTTTTCTTGATGGAGAAAGTTGATGTAACTCTCTTCATGAAACCTTTGGATCCATCTCTCCCACCTGCAAAACTCATATTAGAGTTTTCAAATATAACTCATTCAATCTTCAGAACCAAATACATAGTTTTGTTTGTTTGTTTTACTTTCAAAAGGATGAAGTTCTGAAGTACTCAAACGCTTAATGTGTTTATATTCTGTTTTTTTTTTGTTATATATCTAGTCATAACATAAACATATTAAGCGTGCAATTAGATATAAAATAAGAAACGGCAGTAAGTGCAGGTAGGATTCATGCCATTCTCTCTGAATAAATAAACAAGAAAATGTCAACTACTTGAAAGTGATACATGATTTTTTTAAAATATTTTAACTCTTTAAACATTCTTGATACGTTGATTTAATAAGTAAGAATGACGTTTCTTACTTTTAAAAATAATTCAAATTAAAAAGGATTCTGCTGACATACCAAGCACTAAGTTTGTAGTTTCTTTTCTTCTGTGATTTAGAAAGAGTCCAGAGGTATAAATTCACAGAATGTATATACTATAAAATCCTAAGAAAACAATGTATATATGGCCGTGCAACAGTAAAGTAAAAAGCTCTTTACTATGAACCAAAACAAGGTTCTGAGAATTACTCAGAGATAGCAACGAGCAACACAAATACAGAAAGAGCTTTGTTGAACGGAGATATCTATGCATATGGAAATGTAAAGTCTTAAGGAGAGAGAGAGCTGGAGAGAAAGTGTGAATGAAAACCGAAGAGACGCAAGTGTACTAGGCACTTTGGCTACGATCCATCCAATCTCCTCTAATTGCTCAAACTTTCTAATAAAGGAAACGAATATAGTAATGTGTTTCCTTTATTAGAAATCACTTTTTAAAAAAAACGTACGCGCCAAGTCCTAAAGCTATAATCCTCGCTTAAACGAAACTTTGGGCCGGGCCTTGGGCTGAAGCCACTTGACATCTAATAATTGTTGCCGCTCGGTTTATATCACTAAATTGATCAGAATCGATTTTTGACTAAACCGGTATCTATCACCACCACAGTCCGTCGAAAAGGAGACTCGGAGAAAGTTGAATCGAGAACGCGAAGAAGAAAGAGAAGATGGGTGGAGGAATGGAGACGAACAAGAACAAGTTCATAGAGGATTGGGGATCGGCGAGGGAGAATCTGGAGCATAATTTCCGATGGACACGTCGCAACTTCGCTCTCATCGGAATCTTCGGCATCGCTCTCCCCATCATTGTCTACAAAGGCATCGTCAAAGATTTCGTCAGTTTCAATCCCTCTCCCTTTCTCTCAATCTCACTCGATTTGTATGAATTATGATATCATCAATTGGTTTTGCCTATGTGAAATCATATCTTTTGATTATGATGATGATTGGTTCTATCTGAAATCCAACAATTTTATTTTTTTATTTAGGCTTCTTAGAGTTAGTTGATAGTTAGTTGATTGTTCGATTAATGTTACCTGATTACAATGTTATCCTTTAAACTTGATGCGTTTAGCTAAAACTAGTTAATCTGCTTCTTCTGGTGTTTTTGTGTTCATCACTGAAAAGAAAAGACTTCCACATGCTTCTTAGCATTTTCTTTTCTTACTCTATATTTAGTTTATGAACTCTGAGCAGCCCTTGGATATAGATTCGTGCAAGGGAGACACTTATGTGATTGGTTCTATGGCACTTTGGAATTTTCAGTTTACTAGTTGCCACACAGATTATGGTTATCTTATCTTGTCTTGTGTTTCTCTCAGTCAAGCTAACGTACTCAAAACTTGAATTGTTTTTCTTTTTGACAGCATATGCAAGATGAAGATGCAGGTAGACCACATAGAAAGTTCCTATGAGGTTCTTTGCAACACCACTCTCTGCATCTGTGAGACTATCAAGAAGCTGATGCTACTACTCAACTTTTTTGCATTTTGTTCAGAATAAAAGAAGGAACATCTGAAGGATTATTATCTTTATGTTTCAAAAAGTTTATTTTAAACATTTTGCATGCTTGTTGGCAAATATAAAACTCCAGTTTACCCATTTAGACATCAATTTAGCTTATGCAAGGATTCTCACATTTCGTAAGTGACTGAAAGCTTTGAGGCACAAGGATTCTAACAATTAGGTTGTGTAGATTTTTACATATTGTTTATCTATTATCCTTTTGTAGATTTGGTTGCTTATGATCTTAAGCACCATGGTGAAAGAGAAACATGATCATCATACTTTCAATTTTCAGAATTTCACACTCATGGATATCCAAGTAACTCTATCATTTCAATCTTAAAAATGATTAGTTGAAAGTTGAATTGTTTCACTAGTTTGATACAAGATTAGTTAATCTTTTAAAATTTTATTCTGCTAATATGCCATTGTTTAGCAGATTGCAAATATTTGATAAGTTTTCCAATTATGCAAGTGCAAACGTTACAAAATCCAAAATAATTAACTAACTTGAACTTTCAGTCTACTATTTCATCATTGTTTTGACAAGCTTTCCAATTATCTAACAAACTTATAAAAAAAAAAAAAAAACAATTTATTGATATAAATAGATTTCAGTCTGTAATCTGTTTTAGATAGATTTCAAATCAATCTTTTAAGTTTAAAATGGTTCAACAAGACAAGAATTTAGAAAATAGTCTTACAAGTCCTCTTGTGATCAGGATAAGCCCATCCATAGCCAAAACTAAAAGGAAGAGGGGAACCAATGTTTAATCAATTTTTGATACTAATTATTCAATAAGGCAAATTGTGAAATTATGATTAAACATATAATTTGATCAATAAAACTTTAGATGGATTATCCTGATTATGCTTATTCTCATAGTTGATAGGCGAATATATATTTAATCTTATATATAATTTAGAAAAGGTGGATAGATCATCCCTTATCCTTTGACGCATGGGAAATGGCGGGAGTAAGAAAACCAACGGCAAGAAAGTTAACGGATTTATGAAAAAAGAAAACTTAACCAAACAGACTGTCATAACCCAAATATAGAAAGCTTGTCTCCATCCATTCAATCTTTTTAGGACTTCCTCTTTCAAACAAACAAATAACAAATAAACATAGAAAACGAAACACAAGAATATCAAACAAAGAGAGAAACCCCCAAGAACAAAAAAAAATTAGAAAAATCCAAAACAAAAAAAAAAAGAAACTTAAGCACAAAAAGCTTCTCTCTTCCTTCCCATGGGGTACATTTGAATAAAATCTCCTTGAAAAAAAAAAATCCCTTGATCGATTGTATAAAATTCATCGATCATTCGTGGTTTTTTTAGACATTATCCAAAACAAAACCCCCAAGAGAAGAAAAAAAATCCCATGGGAAGCTGTGTTTCGTCTCCATTGAAAGGTTCTCCCTTTGGGAAGAGACCTGCAAGAAGGCGAAACAACAGTAGCACCACCTCCAAAACATCCACTAACCCTAAAACCGATTCTTCTTCCACTAATCTTACCCGGAGATTGATGTTCCAGCCACCAAGCCGTGTTCTCCCCGAGCCCATTGGTGATGGAATCTTCCTCAAGTATGAGCTAGGGAAAGAACTAGGCCGTGGTGAGTTTGGTGTCACTCATGAATGTATTGAGATCAGTACACGAGAAAGGTATACAAGTTTTTTTGTCTTTTTTCGCGTAAAAAACTGTTTTGTTTTGTTTTGTTTTGTTTGAGATTCTCTCATGGAACGAAACTGAGCAGGTTTGCGTGTAAGAGGATATCAAAGGAGAAGCTAAGGACGGAGATAGACGTTGAAGATGTGAGAAGAGAGGTTGAGATCATGGGATCTTTACCTAAACATGCAAACATTGTTAGCTTTAAGGAAGCTTTTGAGGATAAAGACGCGGTTTATCTTGTCATGGAGATTTGTGAAGGAGGTGAGCTTTTTGATCGTATTGTCTCTAGAGGTCATTACACTGAACGTGCTGCTGCATCTGTAGCTAAAACCATTCTTGAAGTTGTCAAGGTATGTGAAAAGGAAAATTTCAAATCTCTTTTGTATATCTTTTTGTTTTTTTCCCGCCTTTATTGTTGTTTTTCTTGTGTGTCAAGGTATGTCATGAACATGGAGTGATTCATAGAGATCTTAAACCTGAGAACTTCCTATTCTCTAACGAAACCGAGACTGCACAACTCAAAGCTATTGATTTTGGTCTCTCCATTTTCTTCAAACCAGGTACTAAACCACCAGCATCACAAACAGTTTTAAGAAAAAAACTCTGTTTTTAAACGAATGGTTATTGCAGCCCAGAGATTCAATGAGATTGTGGGGAGTCCTTATTACATGGCTCCAGAGGTTTTGAGAAGAAACTACGGTCCTGAGATCGATGTTTGGAGCGCTGGTGTTATACTCTATATCTTGCTTTGTGGTGTTCCACCTTTTTGGGCAGAAACTGAAGAAGGAATAGCTCATGCAATTGTGAGAGGGAACATTGACTTCGAGAGAGATCCGTGGCCAAAAGTCTCACGTGAAGCCAAAGAACTCGTTAAGAACATGCTTGATGCTAATCCTTATAGCAGACTCACAGTTCAAGAAGTCCTTGGTAACTTCATAATTTTAATAATAATACCATTTCATTATCGATAAAAATGATCAATAAATGACACTAGTTGATGTTTTACAGAACATCCATGGATCCAGAACGCAGAGAGAGCACCAAATGTGAATCTTGGAGATGGCGTGAGGACCAAGATTCAACAATTCTTGTTAATGAACAGGTTCAAGAAGAAAGTCCTCAGGGTATATTAAATTTCTTGACAACACAAACTTTTACCTCTTAAAATTTTGTTACTGATCCGCAAATCTTTCAGGTTGTAGCTGACCATCTACCAAACGAGGAGATAGAATCGATAGTACAGATGTTTCAGACAATGGACACTGATAAGAACGGCCACTTGACATTTGAGGAACTAAGAGATGGTCTGAAGAAGATTGGACAAGTCTGTCCCGATGGCGATGTGAAGATGCTAATGGATGCAGCTGATACAGATGGAAACGGGACGTTGAGCTGTGAAGAGTTTGTGACACTGGCAATACACTTGAAGAGAATGGGTTGTGATGAGCATTTGCAGCAAGCATTCAAGTATTTTGACAAGAACGGCAACGGATCTATTGAGTTAGATGAGCTCAAAGAAGCTCTGTTTGATGATGATAAGCTAGGCCATGGTGGTGACCAGTGGATCAAAGATATCTTCTTTGACGTTGACCTCAACAAGGTAAATGAAACATATTCAGTACTAAACAGATTCATGTTTCATATGTACTAAACTAGGTCTTCTTGGTGACAGGATGGAAGGATAAGCTTTGATGAGTTTGCGGCCATGATGAAATCAGGAACAGATTGGAAAATGGCGTCAAGGCAGTACTCAAGGGCGTTGTTGAATGCTTTGAGCATAAAGATGTTCAAAGAAGATGTTGGGGACAATGGTCCTAAGTCCTATTCCATGGAGTTCCCTGTAGCAAGGAAGAAAGCTAAGCTACTTGATGCTCCCAAGAACAAATCGATGGAGCTTGTTCATTCCAAAACCTATAAACCCTCAGGTCTAAGAAACTAAACAAGAAGAATGATCTTTGGATTTTATTTGTTTGTTTTTGGTGCTATAAGTGACAAAGAAAATGTGATTTAATGAGCTTAAAATTGAGCACAATGGAGAATAAAAAACAATGGGAGCATAGAAACAATCATTCAATTTATCAGGTTGTAGTAGCATCAAATAATGTTTCACTTGTAAACTTTTTTGAGCTGCAAACTAGTAGACAACTCTTGTATCAAATTTGGATATGAAGTTTAACAATCAAACACTAAACAGATTCAATATAAAACAATTTCTTGAGATGTAACTTGAATACACAAGACAAAGCAGGTACCATTTGCTCCTTTTTCTTCAAAACCAGACACAAGAGGTTACTAGATTTTGTTTCAAAGAGGTTGCCATGGCAGAGCAGATGGCAGGAGTAAAGTTACAATGTGTGTAGAGATGACACATAAATATTCTTTTTACACTATACATGAGTAGGAAACGTATCCCAAACCCTACAAATCAAACCCCGATACCCACATGAGAGACGAACTAGACTTCACTTTGATCATCTGCATTCTCCAAATGTACTAAGAAACTACAACTACTGAAGTAAGCTTTTCAGACTGGTTCGGGTTTTTATACCTTAACGAGGACATGAGATATAATATTATCAGTTATCTGGGCTTCTGCTGGATCTGGAACTTCCTTTGCCTTTACCTCTTGTTTTGCCACTGCAACCTGTTGATTTAGAGCTTGTTGTTTTGCTGCTGCAAGCCGCGTGCGAGTCTACATCAGCAAGACCGTTCTCCAGAGCTTTCACCAGATTCTCAAAGTAGTTTTTCGTCACACTATGAAAAATACAAATCAAATAGAAGCACAGGTTTAGCTTTCCGCAGAAACGTCAATGGCGCTCATAGGCAGAACCAAGTAGATATATAGGATAACTACTACACGACCTGACTATGACCCTTGAACATAATGTATGGCTTCATTACTTTAAATATATACAGGACCTGACTATGACCCTTGCACACATTATATTCTAGATCTGTCTGAAGATCTAAAGCACTATCTTCTTTTTCTTCTCTGTCAAACAGCAGGAGAGATGACTGAAGACAAAACCCGTACCTGGTCAAACCAGCTAGTTTTGTCCGGAAATCATTGAAATTTTTTGATGGGCCTTCCGCATTGAGAAACTGAAGCAACTCCTTTTCTACGCACTGATGGAGCCCCTCCAAACCTGACTCAGCTTCCCATGAACCATACGACAACGTTAAGCTGTCTCTGAAGCAATGGACAAAGATACACAACACATGAGAGGGTACTGACCTTGCAAATACTCGGAAAATTGTCGCTTGGCACGTTCATGATCAGGTAGGTAGTATCCATATGCATATGTCCATTTTAAGACTCTTCAACATTCGATGATCTGCGCTGCTAAAATCTTATAAGGAACTGTTATGAAATATTGCTACGGAAAATTCTCGGTTAGTTATATGCTAACCTGGAGCCAAGCTTCTACGATAAATTTGAGCTGAGATTCTGGTGTGCACTGTTTGTCACTAAGCTTCTCAAGCTGGCGGAAGTTAAGATAATTCAATCATAATTATATTCATTTCAAGGATGAAGACTATTACCCACTAGATTAAGAGATTCAGGAAAGCATGACAGTTCTTACATTATGCGTCTGCAATTGCTGCAGATCCGTCATAGCCTTTTGCCTCGACTGCCAAATCACACAAACAAAATAATTCAACAACGACGAGCTACACCATCACCTTAGGCATAATAAGTATATCATTAGCATTTTGTATACCGTTTGATTGCTTGCCCAGCGTTCATAATAATGTGTGTATCTCTCTAATGAATTCTTTGCCATCTCTCTCCTCCTTTCGGTCTCATCATACTAAAACAGGGAAAGATGCAGTAATCAAAAAAATCATATCAAATGACTGAGAAAAAAATATCACAAAGGATCAAACAAGTACCCCATGTCTTACCTGCCCTTCTTGCTTGGCCACCTCGTACCGGTTACAAGCATAACCAGTTCTTTCCCCATGATCCATCCATGCACCAAGACACAGCCTAAAGGGAAAAATTATATAAAAACCATCATTAGTGCTTCTTGTACTTCTGTCACAAGATTAAACTGTATGGCATTGAAAAGAACACAGTTCCAGTAAAATTTCCAGAGAAACAGTACCAACCAATGGAGATCAAGCATTACCAACAAAATTCATATTTACAAGGCGGTGTACGTGTGATGTGCATACAACCCTGATTCTTTTCTATTGGCCGCTTGCATCTTGGACAAGGCTTTGAATTGGCAAGTATCCTGGGAAAAAGGAGGCAAAGTTTAATTAGTAAGATATAAGGTTCTAAAATATAATTTTTCTCTCTGTTAAGCCAGAAGCCAAGGATCAGTAACATGAGTAAGAAAATAAAACTATAGATAAGAGTGTATACCAATTCATATTTTCAGATTCAGCACTGTTCTTTAAAATCCATTTTGAAACTGTGATACAATCCACAGGTCGGTGAGCCTCTTCTGTGCACTAAAATTCAGATTTAAAACACAGCTACTGAGCATCCAAAAAAAGAGAAGAATTCATTATATTAGTGTGCTTTGACTCGAGAACTTACATTCCAGCAAAAGCTAAACGAGCACAAGCAGGAAACATCATAATTTCCAGACCCGGCAACAAAATCAATGGCATAATCACACCCCGGGGCAGGACACCACTTCATCTGAACACGGTAACCGAAGCCGAAGTAACATCAGGAATGTAAGAATAAATATGGATAGTTTGAAAGGTTTTTAATCAAATGTTCGATAATACGGAAAAACATTATGTTATCATGAAAATGAACAAAGCCATTGAACAACACTTAGTATATTAAACGATTACCAAACTATTGCCTACACTGGCATGAAACTGATGTTAAAAAGGTTGTTTAAATAACAGAAATTTGAAAACCATGCAACATCAACAGTTAGTCTGGGTAGCCTTACCTTTCTGTTGTCTTCAATATAAGATCTAAGAAAGTATCTATTGTACTTCTTCTTGTCTTCTTCGGACGCTAACTGGTCAACCATATCATGACCAACAGCAGCTAGACAAGATGGGTCGGGACATCTTAGCATCAAACATCCGGGGCCACCATTAATGGTGGTGCTGATGTAACCTACAAAAGAGTACAGCTTAGACAGGAACTTACCACAGCAAATACATAGTAGAAACTAGAAAGTGGAGTACAAAAGTTGGGTTCAGAGCTCTCAAAGATGGAATATAATGATTAAGAGGAAAATATCTTTATAGCTACATCAAATTAACAAAAGCTAACTCAGATAAATAGAGGGAAAACAATTTAGGCTATCTATTCTCTTTCTTTGATAAAACTAAAGATGTAAGACTGATGAGGATGCCAAGAAAACAATTAAAAAAATATACAACGAACCTGTCCAGCATGTGGTGCAGAAAGGATGGCCACAAGAAACCGAAGCAATTTGCTCAGGAGGGTATGAATCGAAACAGATTCCACATGTCAGCAAAACCACCAGACCATGTGTCAGTAAGACTTGTATTAACAAGCGAGACATATGTAAAAACCACTTCAAATTCTACAATTCAGTAGACATACTTCTGTGTCATCAGACGGTGGAACAACAGGACTCTCTAATAAGCCAACAGTATTCCGCACTCTCTCTTCATCCGCAAACCATTCATCATGAACTCTTCCGACACTCCTGAAATGAGAAGTTTTTCATTGCATCAGGAAGCTTGAATAACCACACAAGTATGATCATGGTTCATGGATATACATTCTAGACAAGCTACAGACATCATTTGACATTATCATCAGACTAATAAAAAGTTGTTTCGAAACAAGTTGAAAGCAGATATATGAAAATGAAAGATGAGAAACACAGTCTTTATACCAAACGGTAGAATGTCAAAACGCAATTTACCAGTGATAGTGACGAAGCAGAAAACTTGCTTCGACTTCAGTTATGGAAAGGACGACGGAAACACGCTCAATATCATCCATCTGGTGCCTGAGAATATCTTCTTCCCTCAGAACACAGAAGTTCTTCTGGACAGAGACCATATCACAACAAAAACGGGTTAAAGACCACAGAAAAATAATGAGCAGACAATGAACTGAAAAAACAGAGGAAAATGACCCTAACAACACCACTAGTAAAAAATATAAGTTCAAGACAAGAAGATAACAGTGCAGCTTTAGAGAGACTAAAAAGCTATAAGGCAAGGAGTACAGAAAACAATTAGACTAATCAACAATACAGCAAAAATAAAAAGGAGTGTTTATAGGAACATGGTCTAAGATTAGCTTCTACAATAAAGGAGTTCTCTTTAAACGACCATGAAACAAAAGAAGACCAATAACCAAAGAATAGCATGCACATAATAGAAAAAGGTTCTACCAAAAATGTAACGATAGCAGTTATGCTTCCACCACGTACGTACCCGTACAGTAAACTTAATATACGAGAACAGAACATAGAAAGAAAAATAAGTTTACTAAGGAGTTTGGAAGTAGGGTAACAAAAACAGAAACTCGTAAGAAATGTAGCAAAATGGCACATGTTGCTGTAAATTTCCGCACCTTTTTTTCCAAATAAACCCAAGCTAATTTCATTAAAAAGTAAAGGTTTAACATTAGCAATTATCTTTTAATAAGCTAAAAGGTAACATTTCTCTAATTAACAAAGAAAACAATCTCAAATCGGAAATCAGACTCATCACTGAACAACCAAAGTTCCACAGTTATAGAGTAGTAATCAACGAAATGTTACTACAGAACTTTGTTAACTCAATTATTAGACTATACTCCAAACAAAAAACAAAAAACAAAAAACAAAAAGAGAATTAATCATAGAAACCATAAGCAAGTTTCTAGAAAGCAATTAGCTTCAAAACCTGAGAGCGATGGGAGGAGTGGAGTGGGCTATGAAGAGTTTTTTTTTTAAGTTTGGTAATGAAATGAAGAAAGTATCCAAATCTTGCTGTCTTATTGACAGAGAGAGGGAATCTAGCGAAGACTGGATCCGTTGGGTTTGCGATTACTTTTACTGGATGGATATAGTTATAGAGTGTAGACTTGTCTCACTGGTAAATGATTTTTTTTTTGAGAAAAGGGAAAACTCATTTCGATTTTACTTTTTCTGCACTTTTGGAACAAAGCAACCATTGTATTTCATGAAGTTACTAAGTTAGATGAGTATATGAACTACAAGAAATTAGTTTAGATTCTAGTTTCTTTATATCAGATTAAAGTATGTTTTCTGAATTTTTTAGAACAACACAGATTATCACAAATAGAAATTTGGATCAAAAGTATTCTCAATTTTTTGGTTGTGCTGTCGTTTATAATTCAGAAACGTACGTTACTTGATTAATACTAGGATGGTGACATAATGTCAACATGAATAGAGTAATAACAACCAGTTAATATCGTCATCAATAATAAATTAGTAACTTTTTAGTTTCACTATGTATAAATTAAAAATTTAACTCATTACATAAGTAAATCATATTATAATTCGTTGCTTCGAGTTCATGAAACCATAACTCACTGTTGCTATAAGAGCATTTTTCATGTATATCTATGTTTTTTTCCCAATAACCGTGGAGCCCTACATAACGTTTAATATAAAAGTCTGGTAAGAACATGAATAACTCATCAAGAAATCATCTAAGTAAGAAGTTCTCTTAAGTAAATTAAAACTCTCTTCTTCACACAAAATATTTTCTCTTTAAACACTTTCTCCACATTTACTAAAGTTTTCATTCCAACAATAGCTGTGGATTATATTATCAGTGTCATTTTTTTCCACTTTTCTGGAAATAATTCGCCACTTTGTTCGAAAGCCAAAAACCTAGGGGTCGAATATACTTATTTGTGATCTAAATTATTATTCTGTATAATTTTGTGATTTGTGTGACAAATGTCATGAATATACATCGTTTATCATCATCACTGAATCTCAGATATTTGAGGTGATACTTCCTCCTTAATGATCACCTTCTAGGCCTTGATTCTCCTATCTTCGATCTCATGGAGAGTTTCTAGAAAGGATTTAGCTACTTCAGTGTTCTTAGCATCTAAAATATCACATCTGCACAAAGTGAACAAAAAACAATGGCTAAAAGTTGTAGCATTACTGATGATATATATTTAATTAATCAACTACATTTTTTGTTACAAAAAAAAAAAAAAAAAAAAAATCAACTACAATTTTTTTCCTTTCTTCTTTCTTTCTTGCGTGGTGTCCTGCTGTTTCGCATATGGAGTCATAAGAGATCAGACCTTTTCCTCTTAGTCCGTTGTTTGGGCTGAACATCTTTCTCAGTCTGTTCCGTCTGACCAACTTTGCTGGGTTTCTCTGTTTTACCGGCTTGGACCTTAAGTTGCTGGGGCCGAGCATCAGTCTTTTGGATTTTGGCAGGAGCACCAGGCGTCTGTGTGCTGTTGTCCCCATAAGTACCATGCGCAGATTCATTCTGGGGGGCCTGACTGGTACCTTTCTGCAATTCGAGAACCATACTATAGAGATTCCTGTTTTCATTCCGCATATCTTGTACCATACTAGTGAGTGTTGGTTATTCGGGTCGGAACCCAGAAATTTGTGAATTATATACTTGGATAATGATTGAATCGCAAAAAAAAAAAAAAAAAAAAAAAAAAAAGAACATGAATAACTCGGGATTTTTAAAACATAATTAACGTTAAAACCTCATTTGCGATTCTTATTATTTATTTATTTTTTTCTGATTTTAAAAAACAAATTAATTACGGGCTACCACGTATTAATAGAGTCTGCTGATAGTACGAGAATCCAAACAAAGCCAGCTCTTATTTGATGACTTTTAGAACCAATTTTTAACAATTTGTGAGACCCCCTTTAAGAAACTCCTAAAACCGCCGATAATCATGGTCTTAGGATGGGGTTCTTAGGAAAAAAGAAAAAGGGGTATTTCAGATTATATAAGGATATTTCGGATTATTTCTTTAAAATAAAAAAATCTGACCAATCGTTGATTGACACGTGGGCAGTGGAGCCCATGAATAGTGTAAGGATTCATCCGGATCAATCCTTACATAAGGATTTTATTCTTAAAATCCTTAACTATTCATGGGACCCATTGGTTATAAAATTAATATTTCCTTAAGGATTCTCCCTAAAAACCCCTTGTTGCGGGTGGTCTTAGACCAGGATTATCGCAGGTCCTTAACAAGGGTTTTAAGTAAATTGAGTAATTAAATTAAATGAAAAATAAAAAGAAGGCTCATTACCGATCCTTAATCGGTATGTTTGGTTACCGATTATTTGTGTGTTTCTTCACACACGTGTCGGCTAGGAAGTGTTTTTAATTTTCTATTTTCTTTTTTCTTTTCTTTTGTTTTTCTCACTTTCTTCTCAGTTTCTCATTATCTCTGTCGCAGAGAACTACGAAAACCCAACACCGATCGAAACCAACCGATCCTCCACCACCGATCTTCCACCACCGATCCTCCATCACCGATCCTTCGTCTTCTCCGTGATAGTCGTTCTCGCCTTCTCATCTTCTCCGTGACATGCAATTTAGAAGGAAGCTACAAACAAAAAGCGATATATACAGTTTCGAAGCTGTCCATGGCCATGGCCTTTCAGATAATAGCTTCTTCACCAACGATTACAAAATCTCACCTTACCTCTTCTCCTCATCTGCAATTTTCTTACAAAGCTTCGAAACCTTATCTCTACTCATGCTTTTCTCTATTGGGTTCTTCTCGTTTCTCTCCTTACATTGGTCTAAAGCATATATATGGGTATCTCAATCTCGTCGAAATCTTCAAATCCAGGTCTTGAATTTCTCTATATCATCACAAAGTTGATTTCTTTTTGTGAAAAGTTTGTCTAATTTTTGTTCTGCAGAGAAGAAGAGAAGATGTAGTAAGGGTATGGTCATTCGTGCGTCTCTATTTGGCGTTGGAGCACCTGAGGCTTTGGTTATTGGTGTTGTTGCTTTGCTTGTCTTTGGTCTTAAACTATTCAGGTAGCTCGAACTCTTGGAAAAACACTGCGTACATTGTATTTTTGTATTGCTAACATTGTCGTTAATAAATGTCTGTTGGAGATATGATTAGTGAACCACTACCTGTTTATGTTTGTCTGATATGTTTAAGTGATCTCTTTGTATGTTTGTTATGGTCACGGAAGTCACAGAACTTTTCTTGTGATAATATGAAATTTTGTTTTGGTATGGTCACGGAAGTCACAAGTCTTCATGTCCTCTATATAATAAAGCTTCATTATTTCATACTCACCACACAAGCTCCATACAAAGTTATCGAAAACATTCTTCAAAGTTTCATTATCTCATTATCTCGTTCCCTTCTATCACACATTCTACAAAGCTTTTGTCTCTTCTATCACATTATTGTACTAATCCTTGTTTTTTTTGTTTTTTTTTAAATGCTATGTTTTAAATAATACCTTTTAATATGTTTTATTTAATAAATAAATTTTATCTAAAATTTTTTTTTTTTTTTTTAGAAACCCATAATTAAGAAACTTCCATTGTTCCGCTCAAAACAGAAGTTTCTTAACTAAAGTTCTTATTCCCACTAACTACATTTATATTATTAAACAATCATTAAGGATCACATATAAGAGTCTTGCAATGTTCATGCTCTTATAACTTCCGCTAAGAACCCCACTGTAAGAATTCCAGTCAATCATGGTCTAACTGTATTAACCTAACAGGAATGCAACTTGTTCTCACTTCCACTTATCTCGTGGCATTTCCCAGCATTCTTGCATGGTAAAGAACATTCTGATGTTTAAACCGTTCTTGCTTCTTTGTGTTACTACAGTTACCATCTACGGTTTTCTTATAAGATGATACATTGATTTTGGGGTAAGCTAAGTTGTTGTTGCACTGCATTCTAGACTTGATCGTGAATCAAATTATATATTATAATGTCTGAAGCTAAGTTTGGGTTTATTTTGATGTGATTCAGGAGGGTCTTCTGATGAGCTTTTTTGGCAACATCATCTACTGTATATACTAAGCATCAATCAAAGCTTTTCTATCGAGTTTATATCAATTCTAATCATCGTAAGAGTTCTTTCTGCATTTCAATATCATCTAGTTCATAATTCACATTTCATATATCAAACATTAAATAATAACAATTTCATATTTGACTTTTATTGACATCTCTATTGCTAGGTTACAGGTTCGTTCCATTATTGAACTCAGAAGATCTAACCATGCATACACTGTAATGCTAACTCTCCTTCGGAAGCTGGCTTCTCATACCACTATCTTTCACCTCTGGAAACAGAGGAACAATCTAATGCATAATCAGATTGCTTTACCCCCGGGATCAGTCTTTTATGGCATTGACAAAGAGTTAAGGAACATTATCTCAGCTAGAAGATTCAACAAGCAATTCCATTCTCTTATGAGATTGTGGCTAAGATAAAATTCCTTGTTTGTAATTGTTCTCCATGATCCATCTTGTTTTTATCTTTTTTGCCAAGATGGCTCAAATCAAGGATCTTATTTTTGTAAAATCTTACTTTCATTTAATGATATTTACATTTTAGCAAAAAAGCAAAGCCTTGAAGAAGTATGGTGTGTAATGGGTGAGGAATAGGAGAGACAAAATATTTGTGGTTTAGAGTTTTTGTAGCTTTTTTCTTCAGATTATATATGTAGATGCATGATTTGAGTAAGGTTTAAAAGACATTAGCATTACAATACAAGGAGATTCAGAGTCAAGTGTCAAATTTCTACTTCAAGAATCTACCAAAGCATTTGCAATACTTGGAATGATTCTACAGAAAGTTCGTAGAACTCCATTCGCAATAGTTTTTGTTAGCAAATATTAGTACACTAATAGCATTAAAACAAATAATTATTTTTGTTTTGTTGTGAATCGTGATGACTTAAGCCGCAATCCACGCACGGATCTGAGTATCAAGCAAGTCACCTATGTATTTATAAGTAGCTTCTGATGGATGAATCGAGTCAAAGAACAAAAACTCCGAATGATTCGGGCACGATGGAGAGAAAACATTACACATGAAGCTCGTTTCCAAAAACCCCGTTCCACAACATCCTCTCTTTGTCTCTGTAAACCCTGTTTTCAAAAAAAAAAAAAAAAAAAATCCACATAGTGCTCAACAGAAAGACTTGTGCAACAAGAAAGAGTGTATCTATACCGTATTTGCTAGGGTTTTGCATCATGTCATAAATAGGGCTGTATATATCGGCGTAAAGGATCTTGCTTCCTGTGTGAGATGCTTGGATCTGAGGTAATAGCTTTTGAAGTTTCTGGTTGTATACCACAGAGTCTTTGTTCTCTTTTTCTAAGCAGAACCTAAAGATGTTACGGAACTTAGCAGTCATTTGAACCGGTAAACAACCAATAGGAGGTAGACCTGCGATCACAATGTTCCGGGCACCTAAACTATAAAGCTCCTGCACACAAAACACATAACATTAGCAAAACCTTAGGGTTTCATTTTTTTGTTTAGAGATAATCTGAAAAAATGTTTGAAACTTTACCCCCACGAAACCGTCAAGCCTCTTAAGGATAAAGTCATGGTAACCAGAGATGAGAGGGTACTCAAGACGCCTTGTAGGAATAGTGTAAAAATTCAAGACCATATCGTTAGTCCCTGCGCTTATAACCACCAAAGCGTTGTTTATAATCTCCATAGCTTTCTTGTCTCCCACGATACTCTTAAGACGAGAGATGTAACTCTTGAACATCTTAGGTTGTTCCGAGACAGGAATGGCCTGAGTTGAGAGGCTGGTGCTGTCATCGTAACCCGAACCGGCTGATGCAAAACAGACACCGGTTACAATCTCTTGGTCTGTGAGGTTTGGTTTTAAGAAAGGAGGAACAAACTGTTTGATGTTGTATTTGGCTGCGAGTATGTCGGGGATTAGTTTCCCGTTTGAGAATCTGCCGTTAGCTTTGTGGTCTGGGAGATCAATGCCGTAAGGAAAATGTGTAGCTCTGAAGATTGTGTTTAGAGGGTAGTTGTTGTTGCCTGTGTCCACGGTTGAGTCGCCGAAGATTAGAATGGCTGGGAATAGCGGTTTGGTTGTGGCGTTTGTGGCTGCGTTGCAGGAGGCGAATAGTGTTGTCGTGATGAAAAGAGTGAAGGTTATGGTTTTAGCAGTCGACATGTTTTTGGTTGTTTTTTGTGTGTTTGATTAACTTGAAATGTGAATGGTGATGAATTTATAAAGACTTTTGGAGGTTAGTTTTTTTTTTTTTTTTTGTTGGACCTCGCTGGATTTTTTTTATATTTGTGTGAGTTTGTTTTTTTGGTCATTACAGTGGAAACAAATGGATAAAGAGCTTTGAATTTTAAAGTCTAAATAAAGATTCCCCTAAAAACAAACAAAAATGGTCAAAGAAAATAGTTTCAATCGTTGTGAGAGGGGTCTAACAACTGATAAAGGTGTGTGTAAAGAGAAATACTAATATCAAATCTCTGTAATTTCTCTAACCATTATCATCTTGTAATTACTGAGTCTTCTCCATCTCTATAAACTCATTTATGATAATTATTATCATCTTGTAAGTACTTAGAGTCTTCTCCATCTCTGTGTAATAATCTCTGTAATTTTTACAAACTATACAAGGTGAGTAGTTTAAAAAAAAAAACAGTGTAAAAACAAAATCATTTTTTGTAAAGATGGTTTGCAGCTTATGAAAGTGTTAAATAGACAGATTTGCTAGGTCTTTCAGAAAAATTACTTTTGTACATAAACAATCACTCACTTTAATCCAATATATTCTAATAATCATATAAACAAACTACCAAGTTACTTTAAACATTACTTTCGGTTTTGAAATGTAATATAGTTGAAGAGAATTAAATTAAATTATTTGCGTGCAATTGTATACGGGTAAACAAACTTAACGGTGAAATTTTTCTTTTTACCAACCCACTTTACTTCATAGTTTTTCTTGAAGACAAACCCAATATGGATGCTTAAAGAAAACCAATACTTGGGATGCTAAAACTTATCTTATTGAGAAACAAGAGCGACTGCTACAAGATACAAACCTTTGGCTTCAGAAATTATTAAAAAAAAAATTGAGATCAGAGTTTTTGTGTGTTAGCGTGTTTCCTTGTGTTACACACAAAATTCTAGCTAGCGAACAAATGAGACTGTATTGACCCATTTATCAATAAATGGGCCGAATTTATCAACAAATAAGCCCAAACAAGCAATAATGAAACTAATGGGCCGCATGAGCCCATGAAAGAGTCACAGAAACCCTAGCTCCCGACTATTTATTTGATAACTACCGCTCTTCGTACCGACCCCTAGGGTTTCAACGACTTGAACATCATGGCGACGCAAATCAGCAAGAAGAGGAAGGTCAGTTTCACTGTCTCCTTTTCTATGATCATGGATCTCTTTTACTGAAGCTTAGTTTTGAACTGTATATGTGTTGAGTTTCTGTAGTTTGTGGCCGATGGTGTGTTCTACGCTGAGCTGAACGAGGTTCTGACTAGGGAGCTAGCAGAGGATGGTTACTCAGGTGTGGAGGTTAGGGTTACTCCCATGAGGACTGAGATTATCATTAGAGCTACACGTACTCAAAATGTTCTCGGTAATGTTTTAATCTAACCTTCATTTGGTATTGGAATATTAAGACTTTTATGTGTAGAGATCATCTCATTAGGGTAGTGTTTGGATGTTGTGAATAGGTGAGAAGGGAAGGAGAATCAGGGAGTTGACATCTCTTGTTCAGAAGAGATTCAGGTTTCCTCAAGACAGTGTCGAGCTTTACGCTGAGAAGGTTGCCAACAGAGGTCTCTGTGCTATTGCTCAGGCTGAGTCTCTTCGTTACAAGCTCCTTGGTGGTCTTGCTGTTCGCAGGTACAGTCTCATGTTTTTATCAAGTGATACTTGATTTTCTTATCTTTGTTAGCTTATAAGAAAGAGTGTGATTAGTTTAGGCATCAAGTCATTTCCATCATATTAGTGACAGTGGCACTTTGTCAATGTTGTTTTGTAGTTTTTGTGTCTTGCTAATATTGGAATGATCTTGTGTTGTATAGGGCATGCTATGGTGTCTTGAGATTCGTCATGGAGAGTGGCGCTAAGGGATGTGAGGTGAGTACAAATCTCTATATCTCCGATCTGTTTTATTTTTTTCTTCACAAACTTAATTCATTTGAAATGCTTACTCTCAGGTCATTGTGAGTGGAAAGCTACGTGCTGCACGTGCCAAGTCCATGAAATTCAAGGACGGTTACATGGTTTCCTCTGGTCAACCCACCAAGGACTACATCGACTCTGCTGTCAGACATGTTCTCCTTAGACAGGTTTGAGATTTTTCTTTTGAGTTCCTCATTATTCACTTAATGAATGAAGATACTGGCGATGTTTAATCTAAGTCCGGTTATACTCCAAATGGTGCAGGGTGTTCTCGGAATCAAGGTTAAGGTCATGCTTGACTGGGACCCTAAGGGTATTAATGGACCAAAAACACCATTGCCTGATGTTGTCATCATCCATGCTCCCAAGGAAGAAGATTTCAGCTCCGCACCAGCTCAGGTTGTCGCACCGGCTGCTCTTTTACCGGAAGCTCCCCTTACAGCAGTAGACTACCCTGAGATGATCCCAGTCGCTTAGAACAAGAGACTCGTTTTACTAGTACTACTACAATGTGGTTTTGTTCTTTTTAACTTTTCTGCCTGTTTTGACAGTTTATACTTTCTCGTATCGTCGAATCAGACACATGTTCTTCAGAATTTATTTCTAAAATTATTTTCCTTTGTGAAATTCCCTTTGGTTACAAAATTTATTTGGTATTCTAGAACTTTCTAGTAAGTTTATTAACATCAACCTTGCTTTAAGTGCTAGAACGGTTGGTTTATAACATTTGAATGGAGTGTTTGTCCTCGTATTCAGTGATGATATTTATAGAGACAGCTTCACAACTGTTTAAAAGTCCTCTGTATTAGCTGATGTAATTGGTCCAGATGTCGAGAGTTTTAATATCTTCTGTATGATTAGATGAGCTTGATCTGTCTTTTTTTTCTATCATTTGTAATTAGGCTTAGATGATGTGAAGCTCATTGTGACTTTGCATCACTTACAAGATGTCAAAGAAGGAACATGTCCTCACTTGTGATTCTTTTATCTTTTTCTTCTTTCTTTCACGTTGTGGTCATAAAATGTGAACACGCTTAACGTGTGGTGTTACGATAAGAAAAATTGTCAACAAATCCTTTCACGTGTTACGTATCCAACTCGGCCTGACTTTTTTTTTTAGTTTGAGCTTAAAACTAGTCACAATGCCACATGATAAGTGTGTTTTCTTTTCTAATTTCAGATCAATGAAACGACATTTTATTAAAGACACGGTCACACGGATTAAGAGAAAAACAAGTTTGCAAAGTTATGGATTCTTAAGAACAAACATTTGGACCAAATGTAGAAACGTTTAATAAATAGATAAAGACCCGTTCTTGAAACTTCAGATGATGGATGATTCAAGAAGAAGCCTGTCCCAGCATTGCTTGAATATCTTTCTGCACAAGTCCAAAATAAAAATATGGTTAAGAGATTTTGTTATTATTATGTGTAACATGAAAAAATGAGGATTCCGGTTTAGGAGAGAACCGGGGTGGTACGAACCTCGAATTGAAGAGGAGAGGTTCTAGGAGAATATCTCTGGGAGACTTTGCCGTCAGGAGAAACCAAGAACTTTGTGAAGTTCCATTTGATGGCGTCAATGAGTAAACCTCCTTTCTCTGCTTTCAAGTATTTGTATAACGGCGCCGTGTTCTTCCCGTTCACATCGACCTACATTCTCGTCAAATTAATTCTCTTTCAACCAATCTTTTCACTATTAGTAATCTTGATAAAGAAAAAAGTTGTAGGATTAGATGTTGGTAATTTCGATTAGAGTGTGATTAGTAGAGGTTGTGCATGCTTATTTTGATAAAGAAAAAGTTGAAGTACCTTGTCAAAGATGGGGAATTCAGCTTTGAACCTTGTGCAGACAGTTTGCTGAATCTCTTCATTGTTTCCTGGTTCTTGTCCCAAGAACTGATTGCAAGGGAACGCTAATATCTCCAAACCTAATTTTTTCAGTTAAATTATTAAATTACATTTTCACAACTAAAAGATGAAAATAAAACTTTTTGTATATACAGTATAACCTCTTTAAATTAATAATCTATAAATTAATATCTCTATAAATTAATATAATTTCATAGTCCCAAATTGAATTTTTGGTTCAATTAATATCTCGATAAATTAATAATCTCTATAAATTAATAAAAAATTTAGTTTTGGTGTAGTCCCAATATTATTAATTTTATAGAGGTTTCACTGTATATATGTGTGTGTGGTAAGAGCCCGACCTTGTTCCTTGTATTTATCGTACAGAACATTGAGTTCCTTGTAGTTCGCATCCGTCAGACCACTGCAGTAATAAGAGAGTTAGATTAGTTTCGTTTTCTTCAAAAAAATTGTTACTAATTAGATATATTACTAGAATCCGATATTTTCTTTACATAAACCACTATTATAATTGCAGAGTCCCGGATTGGTCCTAATCATCAACCAAACCGAGTTGATCAGTTACTAATATTACAAGATCTTTTGTTTTTTCACTCATATTTTTGTGAAATTAGACAAACCATAGTTAATCTAAACAGAATTCTTTGTTAAAATGGTGAGAGAAAAATAAACAAATAAAAGAGTTCTTACCATTTGGAGGCAACGTTTACAATCAGAAGAGTTTTGCCTTTGAATTGGCTCAAGCTCACATCGTTACCTGAGATATCCTGCGATGATGGTTCAACAAATTAAACATAAACACATATGTATTATCTTTCTTAAACAAACCATTGGAAGATCCGTTGGATAAAAATGAAAGTTTTCTCTTCTTCTTTGCGTTTTACTTTGTTTCTATAAATCAAGAACCTAAAAGATGAAACATAAAGAAAAGCCTTACCTTGACGGTGAAGTCGTAGATAGACTTTGGAGATTCATCCGCCATTTTTTGGTCTCTCTCTATCTCTCTTCTGAGTTTTTTTTTAGTTTTGAAGAAAGAGAAGAAATATAAATATTATCAACACATATATTCGTATATTTATAATATATGGTAGAGAAATGTGCATGAACGAGATGCTCTAAATGAGGAATCTTTTTTGACGAATGGTCGTGGGGTAGGCATCAATGACCAAATTGATTGTTTCCGATCTTATTTTATATTTTATATTTTTGTCTTTCATTGATTATTCGGTACATGAGCAAAAATATAGGTACTGTTTAAATTAGAAGAATATATTGATCCTACTCAGACAAAAGAAAATACACGAACTTAATGTCATATCTACGTAATAGGAAATACATTTCGTAAAACTTACAAATTGTTACCTTATAAATAGACTTGTTAAACTTATTATATCTAATGTTAAGGAAAACAATCTTTACCAACGGTGCATAATGGAAAAATCTGTAATATGATTTGCTATCAATTATAAACTTTGACCAGATTTTCTTTCTAATAGATTCAAAGAGCTAAGGATCCTTGGATGTAAAGAAAACTAGAACTTTGATTTTTAGCTGTTGCATTTTCTTTATTTCATTTACTATAGAATAAAATGTCATTATCATAGACTCGAACACCCACAAATTGAAAATATATTTACCAGATTTGATTGAGGAAAAATACCATGTGTATTGTTGTATTTTCTCATCGTGGATATAGCGATCAAAATCTGATATGAGAACAAAAACAATTCTCATAAGATATTTTATTGGTAAGACGTTAAGTTACAATTCTCAGAAGCTAACAATCAGGCTTGAAAGTTTCAGTCTTGTTAGGTCGTATCAAGTAGTTGGACCGACTTAATAGACATTTGGCGTGCAGCTAACTATATATACAGCATGATGGAAACTTTTAATAATATTGTCTTTATTTATTAAAAGAAATGTGAGAAGATAGAGTTACTCTTACGTTACGCAACAAGAGTTGGCGGTTGGTCGATGCACAGATATGGTGTGAATTTAATGTCTCACAACATCTTCCACAATTATATATGATTTATTTATCCTTAAATATAAGCTATTGGCCTACTTTTTAAAACATTCAAAATTGAAATAATTTTCTGAAGTCTCATCAATTTGCAGCCTTTTCAATAAATAGTTAGCTTGATTCCACATTGCGTATAATTGACATAAGTATTTGCAAATAAACTAGTCTTACAAGTGAAGTGAAAAAGAGCTGTTAAATGAGTAGCTAAGAATGTGAAGATGTTCTTCAACAGCCGTCCATAGACATCTGTTAGAAAAGAAAACACAATGCTCTGCAATGGGAATCATGTTCCACACAATTCATATGCTTGATCAAAAAAAGAGCACCAGACATTCAGGTTTGGTGTATGATTTAGCCGTTAAGGAGTTAATCACTGAGGTTTTGAGAAACTTAATTGGTTAAGAGTTAAGACGATAAGAAAGAGAACCAGGTTGGCAGTAATAAAGTTCTTTAGCTAATTCGTTGTATACACCAAACCCGAATGTTTCTATTTTGTCACATATATGGATGAAACAAGTGATTGCAGATAATATCGTAGCGCAATCCAATATCAGAAAATTAAGAACCAATGAAACCAAGGAGATAGAACCAAAACTGTAAAGGAAAATAAATTTTATTTGACCTGGTTTGTCTTCTGTTATATATATCTCATATCAATTTTTCAACACAAAGCTGCAATAAAAGAGGTTGAGAGATGGAGAGCTCATCACTCACACCATAGGCAAAGTGAATATCCTCAAAACACTCGAGTATAACCACTGCACAAAATGTATTCATAAGTTTCAGAGATTGCTTATCATTTGGCTTATCAAATTCATGTACTTGAGAAATATCTATCAAAATCCAAGCAAGCTCTATAAGTTACATTTTCAACATAGAATATTAGTTGATTATTGAGAATGCAAGTTAAGATTCAAGAACTAAAACACTAGACTAAAGAAGACACCACTGCTTACATAAACATAAGCAGGCCCGGTCATGAACCCAAGCAAGAAAAGCCATACTTGCGGTCTTTATTTTTAATACAAATATTTCAGCCCAATTTTGTAAAATCCTCCAAACTAATTTTGAGTCTCTGAAGCTGCATTTTTAACTTTTTGTTTTTGTTTTTGGTAAAATATATTTTATCTTTTCATCAATTGAAACCATATTATTTATTTATAGTTTGCTCTGAACCAATTTAGAAATTTTGTAAACCATATGACAGGATCAATGTTGCATAAAACCGTGTATGTAAGTATAAGATAGTCTAGATAGAAACAAGCTAATTCTGAAACCAATCAGGAATTTGTTATTTTAAAAAAGTTTACCTTTCATTAATTAAGAATTTTCATCTTAATTAATGCTGATACAATGTGTTATAATAAATTTGGTTGTAGCCGAAAAATAAAGAACGATCATGTGTTTTGAAAAAAAAGAAAAATTGTGGTGGTGACCAATACTCGGATTTGTTATGGTATAATCAAGCAAGTCCAGTGACCAAAACGGGCGTTCAAGTGTCTTTGACATGGAACGTTTGAGCTAACAGTTAAGATCGAATCTATTGTAGATCTTCCTGGCGCGTTAATCAATTTATCAAATCTAACAGTTTAATTCAACGGTTAAGATCGAAACAATGGTTCACTCTCCGTCTAAGATCAACGGTTGTTTTTCAATTTCCTTTTTTGATTTTCTCGGCAATTGATTCAACGGTTCATATCGAATCAAAGGTATATCCTATATCTAAGATCGACGGCCGTTATTCAATTTCCTTTTTTTTTTCTCGGTAATTTCCTTTTTTGAATTAGTAGTGTATAGTATAAGAGTTTCTTTTTAACTATCATATCCGCTAATTACACAACTCTCAAAAGTTTCTTTTCTCTCTCACAACAAATCAAAGATTCAGTCTCTAATTAGGGTTTCGTTTTGCACCAAAGTAAAACTATGATACCGTCTATGGAGTTAGTGAAACCCTTAGGCAAAGGCTCATATGGTTCTGTCAACCTCATCAAGTTCACTAAACACGACGGCTCGAACCCCTACTACCACGCCGTGAAAAGCTCATGCGCACAAGACCACGACTCTCTCCTCAACGAGTTTCAGATTCTGTCCAAACTCAGAGATTGTCCAGGAATCGTGCAAACATTCGGTACATCTCTCTCTCGAGGTGTGGATAATTACGGAAACAGAGTTTACAGCATGTCGATGGAGTACGCAGCTGGTGGAAGCTTATCTTCTTTAATGGTAACAAGATCGTTGAACGATACGATGATCAGAGACTTCACACGTATGATTCTTCAAGGACTTGTCTCTGTTCATGATCTCGGATACGTTCACTGTGATCTCAAACCGGACAATGTTCTTGTGTTTCCACGTCATGATGAAGAAGTCGGAGTATCGTACGAGTTGAAGCTTTCTGATTTTGGGATGTCGACAAAAGCTGGAGAAGAGTCGGTGTTTTGGGAGTTTGATTCTCCTTACTTGGGAACGCCTATTTACATGTCTCCTGAGTCTGTTCAATACGGCGTCGCGTTGAAGTCGTTAGACTTGTGGTCGTTAAGTTGCATTGTGTTGGAGATGTACACAGGAAAGTCTCCGTGGTCGTTGCAAGATTCGGAGGAGATTTTAAGTAATTTGTTGGATGAGAAGGCGCCAGAGATTCCGGAGTCTCTTCCTTGGGAGGCAAGGCAGTTTCTACAAACGTGTTTCGCAAGAAATCCTGTGTTGAGAGGAAGTGCTTTGGGTATGTTGAAGCATCCGTTTCTTCTTAAGGAAGTTTCTGATGAGAAGAAGAAAGTGATGGTTAGCGGCGCCGGAGGTAGGAGAGCGGTAATGAAGTCTAAGGATATTATGAAGAAGCCATTAAGAGTGAAGATTATTCCACCAAAACCGCCACAGTTTAAGAAAGTTTTGAATAGACCTTTGAGGTTGAAGATTATACCTCCAAAACCACCAGGATGCAATCTAGTTTCTGTTCAGTAGAGTGTGTCAGTGTGTTCTGTCGTTTTGTTACTTGGTGGTGGTAGTTGGTGTAGATCAAGTTAATAGACAGTTGTGTAAATTGCTTCTTGTGTTAGCATTCACTTCGGATAACCATCTCGTTACATTTGTGTTTATTTTTGCAGTTCTTTATCTTTGAAATCTGATGTAACTACTTTGTTTATATTTGGTTCTATAGAGCCTTTTACGTAACTTTGTAACAGCACTTGCAGAATTTATGTTAATGATTTTTTTATCTCTTTATGTTCACTTTTCACTGTCTTTTCTGTCAAACAAGATAACAAAAAAGTCTTAGATATAAAAAGTGTTTCCATGTCTCCAAAGCTACAACGAAGAAGCAGCTGTTTTATGAATGTTCTTCCCAGAAACAGTTTTCGATGATGTTGCAATGATCTACCACCACTTCTCTTTCCCGTTTCAGTTTCTTCCCTGAAACTACTTTTGCTTCATGGAAATGAATATAATCCGACTAATGTTTAACAGATGAAAAAAAACTTGTCCACCATATTTTTTATTTGTTTACATCTAAAATAGTAAGAAAAGATTCTGCGCACAAGCAAAAGTTACAATGTATACAAACAAAGCTATAGTTGAAATTTACAGATTCATTGCAGATCATTCCCCAGAGAAGAACTCGGTAGAGTCGGTTAGAAAATGTCTGAAGTAACGTTTGCCATGATTCAATGTTTTTCCTATTAAGACCAAAAATTCCATTGCACAAAACGGCATTAAACATCCAAAACACACTTGACATAGGTTTAAAAAAAACATGAGAAAAAACATGTCTGCTTTGAGGACATAAAAACATCAAGTATCTTAAAGAGACGCTGATAAGGTTAAAACAAAAACAGAGGCATCCCAAGGAGTCTTCTTCTAGGCGACTGGGATCATCTCAGGGTAATCTACGGCTGTGAGGGGAGCTTCTGGTAAAAGAGCAGCCGGAGCAGCAACCTGAGCTGGTGCAGAGCTGAAATCTTCTTCCTTGGGAGCATGGATGATGACAACATCAGGCAATGGTGTCTTTGGTCCATTAATTCCCTTAGGGTCCCAGTCAAGCATGACCTTAACCTTGATTCCGAGCACACCCTACACATTTAAAGTTTAACCAGACTTAGAGATTAGACATCGCCAGTATCAATAAGAGGAAAACGAGAAACTCTGAAGAAGAAACTCTCACCTGTCTAAGGAGAACATGTCGGACAGCAGAGTCGATGTAGTCCTTGGTGGGTTGACCAGAGGAAACCATGTAACCGTCCTTGAATTTCATGGACTTGGCACGTGCAGCACGGAGCTTTCCACTCACAATAACCTGACAGTAAGCATTTCCAATGAATAATGTCTGTGGCTAAACGATATAAAACAAATAGAGAAAACAGAGATTTGTACTCACCTCACAACCCTTGGCTCCACTCTCCATGACGAATCTCAACACACCATAACAAGCCCTATACAACACATGATCATTCCAATATTACCAAGATACACAAAAAAAAACTGCAAAACAACCTAGAAAAAGTGCCTGTGTCATTAACATGAAAGAAAGGACATTGATGCCTAAACTAATCACAATCTCTCCAATAAACTAACAAAATAAAGTGGCAATTGATTAATTAAATTGAACAGAGTAAGACAATACAGACAAACATGAGACTGTACCTGCGAACAGCAAGACCACCGAGAAGCTTGTAACGAAGAGACTCAGCCTGAGCAATGGCACAGAGACCTCTGTTGGCAACCTTCTCAGCATAAAGCTCCACACTGTCTTGAGGGAATCTGAATCTCTTCTGGACAAGAGATGTCAACTCCCTGATTCTCCTTCCCTTCTCACCTAATAACATCATCCAATAACTACCCTAATGAGATCATCTCTACACATAAAAATTCTTAATATTTCAAATACCAAATGAAGGTTAGATTAAAACATTACCGAGAACATTTTGAGTACGTGTAGCTCTAATGATAATCTCAGTCCTCATGGGAGTAACCCTAACCTCAACACCAGAGTAACCATCCTCTGCTAGCTCCCTTGTCAGAACCTCGTTCAACTCAGCGTAGAACACACCGTCAGCTACAAACTACAAAACTCAACACAGATACAGTTCAAACTACGATTCAGCCAAAGAGATCCATTATGATATAAAAAAGAATAAAAATTTCACCTTTCTCTTTTTGCTAATCTGGGTCGCCATGTTGTTGTATGTGTGAATCTGCCGATCACCGAAACCCTAGCTAGAGCCGACAAGTATTGATTGTCAAGAGAGAAAAACGCTGGTGCGTTATCACCACCACTTGTTAGCTCTTTATACCTAGGTCAGAAACAAGATTCAGTGTTTACAATTTACATGTGCCAAATGGGCCTTTTTGTTTCTTTAATGGGCTTCTTTAGATTTTCAAATCAATTAAAAAGCGAAATCGAACCGGAATTGTTTTGGGTCGGTTAAAGTTCAATTCCGGTTTTCTTCTTCCACGCCTAATTTAAGTATCCTTCCACAAGTAATCATTCTCCGGCCGGCGACGACGATGATGACGTCATCTTCCAAGAACCCTTTCTCCTCGAAACCCCCAAGGCCTCCCTCTTCCTTCACCGCCTCTTCTCTAGCCTCCACCTCAGCAGGACCCCAAATTCGAATCCCTAACCCTAGCTCAATCGTCTCTCCGCCGATTACGATCTCACTAGAGGATCAAACCCTCTCACGCTCCAGTCACTTCACGCGTCCGGAGCTTCTCCGGCGCCGATCGCACAACCTCAAGCAGCTAGCGAAGTGCTACAGGGACCATTACTGGGCTTTGATGGAGGATCTCAAGGGGCAGCACAGGGAGTACTACTGGAGATACGGTGTTAGTCCGTTTAAAGATGAATCGAATAAGAGACGGAGAGTTGAAGGAGAAAGCGGAGACGGCGTTGGAGGTAGTGGAGAGAATGGTGCTAACAGTGATGGGAGCTGTATGTATGGATGTAAAGCTAAGGCTATGGGTCTTACTAAATACTGTCAGCTTCATATTCTTAAGGATAGTAAGCAGAAGCTCTACACTGGTTGCACAAACGTTATTAAAAGGTTTTGTTTTTATTTCTTAAAAACGAATGGGTTCTTCAAAGTTATGTTATTTACATATTATAGTTGGGTTAAGATGTTGTAGTGATGATGAAATGAACCTACCTTAGCTTAGATTCAATGTTTTGAATAGTGATTGGTAGAAAGGTGTTAGCTTTGGACACTGAGATAATGAATTTGGATAACCATTACTTGCCTCGTTTCCTTAACGATGATCGATGAACTGTTTTCCGGTTGTGTTAGAGTTTCTCGTTTGACGTGTCGTTGCTAAAGAGGTATGGTTATGAGTGTTAGCTTAGGTCGTCTTTGAAACTGAGCTCCAACCTAAGAGCGAGGATGGAGCTCTTTGAAAATGTACTTCATTAGGATAGTCCAATTGTGATAGTGATAGAGAGCATTAACCAGGTTTTAAGTTGATACACTTATCATTATAGGGAACTTTGTATGCTGGTTTGTGATTAACACATGATGATTATAATAAAAGTTCTCTTTTAACGCTGTGTTGTTTGTGTTGTTTACATTCAGAGCCCCAGCAGGTCCGTTACTTTGTGGGAAGCCTACGCTTGCATCGACCGTACCTGCACTGTGTAATGTGCATTTCCAGAAATCGCAAAAGCTAGTTGCTAAAGCTTTGAAGGATGCTGGTCACAATGTCTCTTCAGGCAGCAAGCCTCCCCCAAAGCTCCATGTCATAGTAGCCGCGTTTGTGGATCATATTCAAAGCAAAAGAAAAAATCCACGGAGTGAGGGTAAACTGAAAAGTGTAGTTAAAGAAGAAAATGTAAGCTGAGTCAAGCCGTTAGCATTCCCAGAAGAAGTTGTTGCAATAAGTCATGCAGAAGTGAAAGGTGAGGAGCTTAACCTACTTTTAGTTCTAAGTGATCGCTTTGATTTGCCACAGTTTTTTCATTCTGAAACCTATCTTCATACCCTTTTTGGTGCTCTTTATTTATTTTCCTCTATACAGTATTTTATCTTAACGTAATTATAGTATGGTTGCATATTTTTGTAGGCATGGCGTCACGGTCTTCTGCATTGTGCTTGAGCTTGTAGTCATTTGTCTATTGTTGAACGGAAATTAGCTGCACACGAAGCAATCTCTTAGGCAAATCATGAAACTGCTTCTCCTTCTGCTGGATGAGTGAGCAAACTCTGACGTTGGGGCGGATGGCGGAATCAATATACTTTTAATGTCGAATCAGGATCAACTAGGACAGAAATAAAGCATTGGGTCGAACTCTTCTTTGGTGTCAAGGTAATAGCTATGAATAGTCATCGACTCCCCGGAAAGGTTAAAAGAATGGGACCTATTCTGGGACATACAATGCACTGTAACTCTCTCCTTCTCCTCAAATGAGAGCATTTGAGACTTCTCCTCATCAACTAGTTAATGAGACTTCTCGTGCTGAAAATAAGCGCTTGGCAACCAGCCGGTCGAGCCAGATAGACACAAAAGTTTAGTTAGGCTTAAGAGCTTAACTCTGAGGAGAAAACTAAATGTACAAAACAGATTTGGATTTTTGAATTATGAGTGGTGGTGAGGTGTCTGGTTACTTATTGCGTATATAAAATTCTTCTTTTATGCATGTATGCACGGTTGAGAGTGTTATGCGTCTGATTCTTGTGGCAAGCATGGTTGAGAGTACACAAATACAAATCTAAAATATTTTGGAGAGTGATTCTGTGAACTGAGAATCCAATCCTAAATGTTTGGTAGACTATCAACAGAGTCTTTACTGTGTTACAGTGTAGGAATTGGATCATTATCTGCACCGAGCTATTAAGAACCTAAAGATACAATGTAAGTAGGGTTAAGACGGGTGTTAGTAGTTAAAGTGGTAGTTAATGATGTGAAGATCCTACTGTTTGATTACTTGGTAAGATGATAATAGATCCATAAGCACATGTGGAGCTATTTGTTAGTGCTCATTTCAACATTCCGTCTATCTTTTTGTGCAACTATGATTCTACGATTTATTTGAAAATTTGAAAACGTGTGTAAATATGCTAATGGCCAACAGGAATGTAACGTGTGATTTCAATAAACCGAAGCATCCCGGTTTACGCATTATCTGCGTTAATTAACCTTTCGGTTTAATAACCGGTTCGATTGCACCCTGGTGTCGGCGTGTTGCGCGTTACAACAAGAAGTTTGTTTTGCATTAAAGGGGTTTTAAGTAGAAGCAGAAAATGACAAAAGCCCAAAGACAGAAGAAGCCCATTAAGAGAAAGGAAGAGTCGAAGCTTAGTGGAAGGAAGAGCCGTCGCCGATCAACTGAAAGAACCCCGTTTGCTAATGGCGTCACGAAGTCTCTGTGTGTTTCTGTGAAAAGTTCAAAAGTCATAGAGTAGCATCAAACAAAGCAAATTGTTTTTATGGCGAATAGTAAGTACGAGTATGTCAAGTCATTCGAGTTGGAAGATGAAGTTATGCTTCCTAATCTGATCGTTGTTCGGATCGATGGTCGTGATTTTTCTAGGTAAAGTCTCGAGCTTTCTTCTTCCTTTTTTAAAATTCGAGAAGAGAGATAGTGTATATGTCAATGTTGATGGTGTTCATAGTGTCAGATGTCTTTTTCTTGTTGACTTTGTTGTCTCTTTGGAAGTTTATACGGAAATAATGACCAAAGACAGCGCATTACTTGCATTTGTTATTGTTTCATCACTCTCTGAGTCAATAGTGTTTCACATTGTTCATGGAACTTAAACTTTGATGAAGGATGTATTTATAATTATATTACGAAAAATGCTCTCTTTACTTCTTTCATCTTTAATCAGTATAGATTTTCCCAAGTTCATGAGTTTGAGAAGCCTAATGATGAAGCAGCACTCAATCTTATGAATTCATGTTCCTCTGCGGTTTTGGAAGAGTTTCCTGATATCATCTTTGCCTATGGATACAGTGATGAATACAGGTTCCAAAATTCACTTTGTTTGACTTTATTTGTTTTACACTCTCACTCTATATAACACCTTCCATTGTTTTCCGTGTCTTCGTTAGCTTTGTGTTCAAGAAAACGTCAAGATTTTACCTGAGACGAGCCAGGTGCTTATTCATCTAAACTTGATCGATATGTTGAAACGTTTTGCAGAATAAAATGTGGTTTCATGTCTCTGATTTGACTCATAGTCTTTACTTTTCTATTTTTTTCGTTTAATATGCAGTAAGATTTTGTCGTTGGTAGCTTCGTTCTTTGCTGCAGTCTATGTAACAAAATGGAAAGAGTTCTTTCCCCAAAGAAAATTAGAATATGCTCCCTCTTTCACCTCAAAAGTTGTAAGTTGCGCATCAGTAGAGGTTCTTCAAGCTTATCTCGCGTGGAGACAACAGGACTGTAAGACATTCTGACCTCAGAAATATTGTTGATAATTTTTTGTTTAAATTATCTTCAGGAACTTCTAACAAGTTCCGTTTCTTCGTTACAGGCCACGCCAATAATCAGTATGAAACTTGCTTTTGGATGCTACTTAAAAGTGGAAAGACCATAAGCGAAGCTCAAGAGGTTCTTAAGGTGTGTTGTTTGCTTTTCTAAATGCAACGTTATTTTTTCGTGAAATGAGTTTAGCAGTATGACTATATGGTCTTTAACCTTCTTCTCTTGATCTCATGATTAGTGATTATATCACATTGTATATTTCCATTGGATACCTGCAGGGTACACAAAAGCAGCAGAAAAATGAGCTTCTCTTTCAGAAGTTTGGTATCAATTACAAAACGCTTCCTGAAATGTGTCGCCAAGGATCATGTCTTTTCAAGACAAAGGTGATCGTTTATATAATTCTGTTAGAAATCATATATACATTGCTTTAACTCTTGCTTTAATATGTGATGTGTTTTTTAGAATATAAACCTTCCAACTGTAAGTTGGTTCACTCTGAAGATTACTAAGATCAGTTTTTTTGAACAATATAATTGGCGCACATGTACGTTTAGGTTTTTCATTTCAAAATTTAATTGTCTGAAACCCTTGTAAGAATATTTTCATGTGTATAAGACTATTACTTCAGCTTTGTTGATGTCGATGTAACTAGCTGAACATATGTGTTATCCTCTTTGTATTGTGTTTTGTTGAAAGTTAGATATTCCCTTTTCATTGCATCTTTGCTTGATGTTCTTCATAAACTTGGCTTATGCCGCATACTTATCATAGATTTCGAATATGAAATACTTCCATTTAACTTTATTTAGGTGGAAGAAACTGTAAAGCATGATGAAAATGGCAATCCTATAAAAAGACTGAGAAGAAAGGCTGTTTTTGTACATTCAGAGAATATTGCTGCAAGAAGCTTTTGGAATGAGCACGCCTCTCTATATAATGATCTTGGTCACTTCACGAAAGATATTGGCAGAGTTGAACCAGATTTTGTTAGATCGTTTCAGTTTGAGAACAAATTGTTACCTTTAACTTGGGTCGTTGTTAGGATTGACGGCTGTCATTTTCATAGGTAATATTATATTGCGTTCATTCCTTATACTAGTCAAGTCCTTGTGCTCCCTGGATTCAGCTATGTTATGTATTGATTTACTTCTTTAGGTGGCATCTTTGGTTTGCTGAGGTTATGTTGTGGTAACTTTAGTCTAGGGCGTATTCTAGTTCTTGAATCTTAACTTGCATTTTCAGGAAGATGACAAAGTTTTATTACTAATCAGCTAACGTTCTATGCTGAAAATGTAACTTACGGAACTTGCTTGGGGTTTTGGTAGGTTTTCTGACGTTCATGAATTTGAGAAGCCAAATGATGAGCAGGCTTTGAAACTTATGAATTCATGTGCAGTTGCTGTTCTCGAGGAATTTGAGGATATTCACTTTGCCTATGGTGTGAGTGATGAGTACAGGTCTGCATCTCTCAGCCTCTTGTATATCACCCTTTACATATCTAAGTTATTAACTAAGTTCATCCTCGTTTCCAGCTTTGTTTTGAAGAGAGAATCTGAGCTCTACAAAAGACAATCCAGGTTAAACTAAATTCTATTATTTTCCTTACAGTTTTGGCTCTCTACTCCATGATTCTTTTGGTTCTTAATGTGCTGATATTGTATCACAGTAAGATAATATCTGCGATCGCATCCTTGTTTACATCCACATATGTGCTAAAATGGGGAGACTTCTTCCCTCAAAAAGAATTGAAGTACCCTCCATCGTTTGATGGACGAGCAGTATGCTATCCAACATACAAGATTCTTTTGGATTACCTGGCTTGGAGACAAGTTGACTGTGAGTAATATAATTTCTAAATTATTATTTGAAATCATCTATATATTTGTGAATTGGAACATCTATATATTAGTACATGTTTTCTTTTTGTTTGGCAGGCCATATCAATAATCAGTATAATACATGTTTCTGGATGCTTGTTAAGTCTGGAAAAACCAAAACTCAATCCCAAGATTACTTAAAGGTACTTTGTTGTTGTGGAAGAAGATTTCATTTTGTCATGACTTGAAAATGGTTCTTCTTAGCTTGGTCTTTATGAATGGCTTTACCAGGGAACTCAAACACGAGAAAAGAACGAGCTGCTTAGCCGTCAATTTGGAATTGAGTACAGTACATTACCTCTAATCTTTCGAATGGGTTCCTCGGTCTACCGCTCAAAGGTTAGTATTTGCTTTTATCAACGAACTCTCTTTATCTCTGTATAGGAGAAATATATACCACAATGGACTAGCTAAATTACTTATAAAAAAGCCAAACTGGTTCTGTTTCTTATCGTCAGAACCAGTTAAGATACTCAAACCTTGCTTATTAACTGCTAAGTGGCTATATTCCTACACCAAACCTGAATGCAGAGCATTTTGTAGATTATCTGTTAATCAGCTGTTTGAATATAATCGTTTTCAGGAAGCTGTTTCAGTCGAGAATGGAGTCGATTCAGGGAAGAAACTGAAACGGGGAGAAGTGGTGGTAGATCACTGCAACATCATTGAACGCGGTTTCTGGGAAGAAAATCCACACATCCTTAGCTATTCATAAAATAGCTGCTTCTTTAATCAAGCTTAGGAGACATGGAAACACTTTTTTATCTACTTGTTTGTTTTCTTGTCTGACAGAAAGACCGATGAAAAGAGAAACAGAAAGAGAAAACACACATTAACATAAATTCTCCCAAAGTGTTGTTATACGTATAGAACCAAATATAAACAAAGTAGTTACATCAGATTTCAAAGACTAAAAAAAGAAACAAAAGTAAATGAGAAGTTTTAGCGGCCAAGTGACAATGCTAATACAGGAACCAAACTTGGTCTCGCTTTGTCTTGGATACTCCTTGCTGTTTCCTCTGTGCAATTTCCACAACTGTGTATTAACTTGGTCTACACCATCTACCACCAAGTAACAAAACGATGGAACACACTGGACCCACCAAGACAAAACGACTGAACAAACACGAGTCTGCATCCTGGCGATTTTGGATGTATAGTCTTCAGCCTCAAGTGTCTATCCACAACTTTCTTAAACTGAAGCAGTTTTTTTTTTTTTTTTTGTTGGGCAAAAAACTGAAGCAGTTTTGTTGGAATAATTGTAAACTGATAGCTGACCAAACAAATAATAAACTGATTCTTTATTTATGTCACAAAGGATTCGTTACAATGAAAGTTTGCTATATAGGCTATTACAATGTAAACGATCATAATCAGTCTATCACACTAGAGATCTTCATGTCTTCGAGTCTACACGCTAAGTCAAGTCCTTCACTCTCATCGACCATCACATACTCCTCCTCCTCATCAGAAACTCTCTCAAGAAGAAACGGATGCTTCAACAAATCCAAAGCACTTCCTCTCTCCACAGGATCTCTTGCCAAACACGTCTCTACAAACTGCCTTGCCTCACAAGGAAGAGTCTCTGGAATCTCAGGCGCCTCCTCATCCAACAGAAGACCCAAAAGCTCCGTCGAGTTTTGGCACGTCCACGCAGGCTTTCCCGTGTACATCTCCAACACAACGCAGCCTAACGACCACAAGTCCAACGACTTCTCCACGACGCCGTATTGAACAGACTCAGGAGACATGTAAAGAGGCGTTCCCACGTATGGACAAGACTCAAACTTCCAAAAATCCGGCGCCACTCCCTCTCGTGTCGACAATCCAAAATCAGATATCTTCAACTCGTACGAAACTTCTTTAACATCATCAAGTGGAAACAATAGAAGATTATCCGGTTTGAGATCGCAGTGAACGTAACCAAGATCATGAATAGAGACAAGTCCTTGAAGAATCATACGAGTGAAGTCTCTTATCATCGTATCCGTCAACGACTTTGTTTCTATAAAAGATGTTAAGCTTCCACCAGCTGCATACTCCATGGACATGTTGTAAACTCTTTCTCCCTTCTCATTGACACCTCTAGTCAGATATGACCCTAGGGTTTGCACGATTCCTTGACAGCCTCTGAGCTTATATAGAATAAAAAACTCGTCGTGGAGAGCCGAGTAGTCTGGTCCTTTTGAGGTTTTGACGGCGTGGTAGTAGGGTTTCGAGCCGTCGTCGGGGTTAGTGACTCTGATGAGATTGACGGAACCACATGAACCTTTGCCTAAGGGTTTCACAATCTCCATCAGCGTCGCCATCGTATGTTTTACCTGATTAGAATGTGTGCTTTGCTGTAACCAAAACCCTAGTAATTAGTATCTTAATATTTGATTTGTTTTAGAGAGAAAGTAAAATTTATAGAGTTGTGTAATTATCTGATACGATAAAAAAGGAAAAAACTTAATAAAGTTGAATTTTTTTTTACAAAAAAGTGTCATGTATCACCTTCTTTAATGATGTTTTAATGTTTATTATATTTAATAACTATTTATTTCAAATATATTTTTTATCATTAAATTAAGTATATCTATATTTAAATATATAAATTTTAAAAAGTTTTAGATCATTCTGTTTTAGCTAAAAATATATTGAAATGGTAAAAAAGATTTTAATTTACTTAATGAACCAATAAATGCTAATAAAAATTTAAACATTAATTAAAACAAAGTTTTACTTCATTAGGGGTTTTAGATCTGTATTTTAAAGAAAAAATGACAAAAAAATATAATTTATATTTAATTATAAACATAGGATATATAAGTTAATGTGAATTTTTTTACAATGTATTTATATTTAGTTTATTTTTTTATTAATTCTACATAAAGTTGGTTTTTTTTTCTTCATAGGAGCAAAAAATACCATGTGTCACCTTCTTTAATGATGTTTTAATGTTTATTATATTTAATAAATATTTATTTCAAGTATATTATTTTATCATTAGTTTAAGTATATCTATATTTAAATATATAAATTTTTAAAAGTTTTAGATCATTTTTTTTTAGTTTACTTAATGAACCAATAAATGCTAATAAAAATTTAAACATTAATTAAAACAAAGTTTTACTTCATTAGGATTTTAGCTCTGCATTTTAGAGAAAAAATACAAATAATTATAATATATATATATATATTTAATTATAAACATAGGATATATAAGTTAATGTGATTTTTTTTACAATGTACTTATATTTAGTTTATTTTTTTATTAATTCTACATATACATATATATTGTAATGGTGATATATGATTTATTAGTTATAAAATATTTCAAAAGTTTTGCCAGAATAAATAAATACTTATACATAAATTTTACTTTTAGTGATATTTTAAAAGTTATTAGCTAATAATATATTTTAAAAACTTTTCAAAAAATCAAAAGTTATCCAAAAAGTTTTACAAGTCATAATTAAATTGATGTGATGTCATCTTTTTAAAAGTTATGTCCTCGTTTTCTGGTGAAAATGAATTGTTTGATGGCATTATCGAATCACTTCTCAAATAATAACTAGATGGTAAGTTCATTTAAAAAAAAATATTAAATTTATTAGGTCCAAAGTACACTATCCAAATTGTATCGGAAAGTGATTATGTTTGCTACCGGTACCTTTTCGTTACCTTTCTTCAACCGTTTACGCCAAGCCATCATTAAACTCAGACATGTCCCCTATCTTCCCTACTGCATATTATCAAAGTTGCTGACTTCAAAGTAACAACAATAAAAAATCAATCATCGACTTCTTTTACATATTTATATAGTTTTTTTACACGAAGTTGTTCCTAACGTATGTAAAAAGAAGTTGATTATGTTTCAGAAGTAGGAAATCTAGAAAAAGAAGCTGGAAGCTAATTGATCTTGAACTACTTTTAACTGACGATAAGGTAAAGTATTATTTCAGAATCCCATTATATTAGGTTTCTCCATTATCTTATCAATCTTACGAACGTAAAAATAGTTGAAAATTGCTATTACATGATTTAGCAAATATGAAAAGTTAATCATGGATTTAAGATTGAGTTCTTTTCACAAGTTAAGGAAGAAAGTATTAACATTTATTGAGGTTAATGATGAAGGGTTAATGTGGTTTGATGGACTTTTAAGATTGACTTTTAAGAAGAATTAAAGATTGACAGAAGAAATAAATCGATCTTCAGCTATTTCTACAGATTCATAGAAATATAGTTTGTCATATGCATTTCCACGTCATCTTTCATGTTGGTATTCTATGAATTTTTTCATACTTTTAAATACAAAATATGGTCAGCTACTAATATAAAACATTACACCAAAAGTTACTAAATACAACAACAAGTGTGACAAAAAAACACGTTAACAGATTAAAAAATAATTACATAGAAATCAAAATATGGGAACATAGTAAACCAACAAAATAACTACATGTAAAATACATTCACATGAGACATAACATCCACTTTCAAATGGACAATAAGCCAAACTTAACCCAAATAAGTAAATATGTTTCTGTGCCCTATCACTTCTTCATTAGTCACCTCAAATCGCCTATAATTTAAGCTCCAAAATCACATGCAATTAACTCCTACGTTAAAGAAATTAAGAGAATTACTACGAACCACTAATAAAACAGCCGCAACTAGAATAAACAAAAGAAAATGTAAAAGTTATAAATGGCTACCCTTTTTGCCACATATTATTCGTCTTCTTCACTATGCACTCATATTCAACATAGTCAATCATACGACTGTAAAATTATAGAAGTAGACCTAAAATAAAATCTATAATTAAGCCATCATCGTAAATTTATAATTCAAATATCAGCAACAAGCAAATAAAAACCAATTAACGGGGGAAATTTAGAAACATAAACCTCCACTTTCTACTAGACTTTTGAAGATATAGTATAATAATATATAATGCAACCTCCCATAATGCATACATGATATATCTTAATGAACAACGAAAATAAAGAATATTCAATAACAACAAAACACATTAAATGTTTGCCAGAAACCTATATTGACCACCAAAATGTAACAACTCCCAACAACATCATATGAATCTTCTAAAAGAAGAAACATACATGATATAAGAGCTTATTCATATATACTGATAATTTCAAGATTATAAACAATTTCGGACTCAATAGAGAATAATTGCGCCGGAATACCACTAGTTTCTAAATAAAAAAGGAAATTGCTGACCAATAAAAAAAGGAAATTGTCGAAATACTTTTTTTAAAAAAAAATTGAACAATGACGGTCGATCGTATACGGAGGATCCATTTAATTGTATAGTTTTTGGTCACTGAAATTTGCTAGATTATTATAGAAATTCGGATTATCAACACACCATCACAATTATACGAAAAACACATGATCATTCTTTAATCTTCGGCTTCAACCATAGTTATACAAACACATCACCGTTCTTTAAATCTTCGGCTACAACAACAACAGTAATTCAGACACATTGTTTTCTTTATGAAGATACAAACTCACAATGTTATAAAAGTTAGTAACAATTTAATCGACATGAAACAAACAAAAAGTGACAAATATGAAACCTTTCTATAACAAGTTTAAGTTTCTACAAATGAATATAATATACAGAAACATTCTCTTGCTGCTATAAGGTAAATAAAAACTATTTTTTTTTGGTGAAAGAATAAAAACACAATTTTCTTTAAAGAGTTGCATATAAAAACTATAGAAAATGAAAGTACTAAACTTGAATCCATGCAAATTATGAAATTAGTTATGAGATTGGTAACCGCCGCTTCCCACTTGGACAGAAAACCATAAAACAAAGCATATAAAAATACAAACCACATAAACATAGGGGATGCTTTGCCTAAACAAAATCATTAACACACATATCCATCCAATGATATTCTTATCTTGACATGCATTGACCATAAACAAATACGAATATTGCAATTCTCAAGAATTACATCGAATGGAGGAAAAAAAATGGCAATTGTTGGTAGCAAAATCACCTATTCAATTGTCCGTTACTCATTTGTCCTCCTCTCTGTACACGTAATCCGTTCAATTGGAGTCAAAGACCCGGTTCGATCATAACCGGGGTCAAATCGAAATTGAAGGTTAGTTAAACAACCCTAGGGATTTAAATACTCTATTTGTCCCTCTCCACTCTCGCCTACCATCATCATCTTCTTCCTCCTCCTCCTTCTCCGCCATTTTCATCGCTCTAAAACCCTATCTCCCTCTACTGAATCTCCACCTACTCAGCTGAGCTCTCTCCAGCTCTGTTTGATCGAAAATTCAAATCGAATCAACCAGTTACTCTCTGATCCACTAGTGTTATTCTGTCTAGTGGTGTCTTGATTTCCAAACTCCGCGGAGGATGGATCTGCCTAGCCTTGCTTTGATCCTCCGAGCCGCTGCACTCAGTCCTAATCCAGATGAACGGAAAGCTTCTGAGCAGCAACTCAATCAGGTCTATACTTGAATTCTGTTGAGATGTGATATACGTTTGCTAGTTTTTTTTGATCGGTATTAGATTAGATTCTCTTGCAGTTGTTACTGATGCGTGTGTTTATCGTTTTCGATTACAGTTGCAGCACACGCCACAGCACTTAGTGAGGTTGTTGCAGATAGCTGTGGATGGGAACTGTGACTTGGCAGTGCGTCAGATTGCTAGTATTCAGTTCAAGAACTTCATTGCTAAGAACTGGTCACCTGATGATTCTGGTGATAATAATAATATTATTATTAATTTTTTTTTTTTTTTTTGTAATTTCACTGATTTGTCTTGATTATCGGAAGGTAATAGGTTGTGTATTTGACTGTGTAGGAGAGCAGCCGATGATATTGCAGAGCGACAAAGAGTTGGTGAGAGACAACATCCTCGTCTATGTCACTCAAGTTCCGACCTTACTCAGGTAAATTTTGCGATGTATATAGCTTCTTTGGGACTTCTCAGGTCTGATTTTAAGTGATTGGTGGAAACTGGAGAGATGGCATAACATGTATGGCTAAGCACGTGTGCCATCATTTTGTATGATTGATAGTCTTCAAGCTGAGACTTCTCACTTGTTGTTTGACTTGGACCTGCAGCAAGTTCATATATGTATCTTGCATCCTTGTATGTGTGTTTTTCATTACTCGTAGCTGCTAAATATCGTGAACAGTGAATGGTGGATGATAATATTTTCAGAAAAGTTAGAAATTTTTCTACAAGGCTCAACCACAGCGATGATTTTTGTTTTTGTTTTTTTTTTTAAATGTTTCTCTTCCTAATTCTCTTAATCCAGATCAC